CTCAGCTGACCATTAAACATGACATCCAGATACATGCAAGTAAATATTGTGTCATCTTATTCTATAGACTTCAGCAGCCTTTTCTGATAATACAATGGCCTTGACAGACCACAAAGTAAATGTATCATGTGTGTAAACTTACATTTAAACTATAAAATAAATCCATTTTGGCATGAATGAAAATAATTTCCATTGTTCCTTACTTCCTTCCCGTCACTTTTCTCCTTACTGATTCCGGTTTCTTTCCTAAAAGCTCTCACAGTTAGCCTGTTTTTTTCCTTCAATACTATACTTGTAAAATAAACAATAACATTGTTTCGATTTGCTATTAAACCTTTTACAGAGAGTACTGCAAAGGCAACCACAAGGAACTGGAAGCCATTACAGGAATGTACATGCGTGAGCAGACTAAAATTGTCCGGTCTTACAGCTGCATAAGAAGCTATGGTATATAAATGTAAATGATGCATGATCGGAACAGGGTAGTAACAAGATGTGCTGAATTATTAATGTGTGTGATAAGATATCATCTTTCAACTAAAAATGCATGGCTGCTGATCACCTCAATATGACCTGAACTTTGACCCATTTCAACATTGCACAGCACAATTTACCCTAATTTATTTATCTTACACTTACTGCAAGTAAATGCATGAAATGGGGGATTATAAGGTCCAAAATAGAAGGCAAATATATATACTGTACATGTGGGCAAGATATACACGTACTGCCTTGAAATTACTGCGTGGAATGCACTTTCAAAGATCACCCTTGACGCTACTTCACTGGAGGGCTTTAAGGGAGCGCTTCCACCAAGCATCTAGACCAAGAACTAGATAGTTTATTCGTTAGCACTACATCCTGACTTATGGATCCTACTGAGTATCATCATAAAAGTAGAAGTAGAAGTATACATGCAAACAGATATTCAACATTTTAAAGACTTCTCCAGACTACATTGTACATAGTGTAGCTTCCTTTCACTTCCCCTCCTGTGCGAAAAATACAATTTAGAGTATCAAATAGGCCTACATTTAATTGAGCACTGCTAAAGTCATAACACGGTTCCTTGGGTTTTGGGAAGCCAGTTTTAATAATCAAGGACATGACTGATTCTGAAACACTTTTCATGTTATCATGCTCACACTTTTTGATTTTGTAACTATTTTGTTTTATTTAATTCATTTAATATTATTATCAGTATTATTATTTATTGTTTTTTTTAATTTGTTTAATTTTTAAATATATGTATATTTGTTGTTGGGGGAGGGGGGAGGATGAGGAGGCAGTTCCATTTGCAAACATCTCTTGTAAAATGCGAAAGTGTGTAGTGACTCAGCAAGTGCTCATGTTATCAGATTTTGATGAAACCTTGTTTTAAAATGTCTACCTTTATGTATTTTTTCGGGGTTTATCTCAAATGTTTAAAATGAAGACTGGCAAAATTCCTCATTAATGCAATTGTCTTTATAAATAAAAGTCTTTTTTTTTCCTTCTCAAAAAGACCTGGTTCTGCAATGGGAAAAAGAATTCTTACAACGTAAAAAAGCAGCTAAATGGGCACGTTCTGATAAAATACCTAATGTTGTGTAGATGGTAAGGGGCAATGGTACTGCATTCATCATGACAATTGAATTACAAATTGCCAACCATTTTGCTTTAATTCATCATGCACTGCAGGCTTTTTAAAGACCCTATCCAATGAAAATAAAACTTTATATCAATAGAAAGCTGAATTTTCGTAGAATAACAAATATTTTCCCTTTCAGTATTGCATATTGGCAAATTAAAACCTCATTTTCTGCACCCATCCAAATTACAGGCCAAATGAAAAGAATGTAGTATAGTTTGGACGATCTAATCAAAAAGATATTGAACATATTGAATTCTTTTGCATTTTATGCGAAACTGAGATATGTACATTTGATAAGATTTGTGAGTGATACAGTACAAGGAAATGATACCTATGTATTGGGAAACTTTGAGATTTATATGTAAATATTTTCATAACTGTGATATTTCCTGATAGAGATCTATTCCTCGAAAATGTTCACCACAAAATATACCATTATCAAGTTCATTTAGCAATAAAAGTACTTTTCCAGATGGAAAGAGCTCATCATATTGCTAATCAAGGAATGATAGTGAGAGTTTAATTTAATTTTTTTATAGAAATCTGAGCGCTTATGCAAGGCACTCAAGCAAGTCATGAACAAACGGCACCTCTTGGCACCATAAGACCATGCATGGACAAGCGTATTGTAGCTTGACTGCATACATGTGCTGTTTTCCCAAATACATCTTTAAAGTGTTATTACCTGTTTGGCATACATTCATGTTTTAAAAAACTAGATGGAACTTCGACTGCGCGCAGTCGAAAATGATGCCTCCGTCATAGAGCAATTTTACAAACCAAAACAGAAGAAATTTTTCGAATTCAAGTTCAATTGTAATCCATTAACAGGTTCTCAGAATATTGTGATTACAAGCTATTTTTGCATACATAATGAGCCCATGACCTTTGACCTTATGAACCAAGAATCTACTCAGTTCATTGGCTCTGCAAGAAACATACATGACCTAAGTTAGCAGGAATCCATCAATCGGTTCTTGAGATAACGCGATCACGAGCTGTTTTTGCATACATAATGTGCCCTGTGGCCTTTGACCTTTGACCTTGTGACCCCTACATCTAATCAGTTCATCGGCTCGGCAAGTAACATACATGACCTAAGTTTTGCAGCAATCCATCAATCGGTTCTTCAGATAACGCGATCACAAGCTCGTTTTGCATACATAATGAGCACTGTGGCCTTTGACCTTTGACCTCGTGACCTCAAAATCTAATCAGTTTTTCGGCTTTGCAAGTAACATACATGACCTAAGTTTGGCAGCAATCCATCAATCGGTTCTTCAGATAACGCGATCACGAGCTCGTTTTGCATACATAATGAGCCCTGTGACCTTTGACCTTTGACCTTATGAACCAAGAATCTACTCAGTTCATCGGCTCTACAAGATACAAACATGACCAAAGTTTGGCAGGAATCCATCAACCAGTTCTTCAGATAACGCGATCACGAGCTCGTTTTGCATACATAATGAGCCCTGTGACCTTTGACCTTTGACCTCGTAACCCCAAAATCTAATCAGTTCATCGGCTCTACAAGATACATACATGACTAAAGTTTGGCAGGAATCCATCAACCAGTTCTTCAGATAACGCGATCACGAGAACGGGACGTACGTACGTACAGACGTACGTACGTACGTACGTACGTACGGACGTACGGACGTACGGACGGACGGACAACCCGAAAACATAATGCCTCCGGCTACTTTGTAACGGAGGCATAAAAATCTGCCTTCATGTCTTGTCTTGTCCTAAAACACTCTTACATCTAAAACAACGATTGGTACTACAAAATCAGAGAATCGCGTTGAAAAGAGCCATGCTTAAGCTTTTCGTCTCTTACTCATCAGAACATAACGTAAGAATGAAACAGAAAGCCGAAATCGAACAATATAAACGGAAACTAAAAGGAACAAGGTGCGAATATAACAAGCTCTGATTGGCTGTCTAAGGTAACAGTAAATTAGGCTTATGGCCAGTGGGTATTGCCAGTGGGTTATATCGGGATAATCGCTAAAATAATACGAGCATCTGAACAAACTCTTTCTGTCTGCATAGAAGAGGGTCAGTCAACTGAATGTGTGAGGTTTCGAGCATGCGCAGATGAGTAAAGTTTCTCACTCAGCAGAGAAATTTGAACCAAGATGAACAGTATTGTTCAGCAAGTGCTGAGCGATGTCAGAGTTGGCGTTGTCTGTCGTCTGGCCATTTCCCAGTTTGCATGAGCGCGGCGGTTGTGAACGCGTGCCGTTCTGGCGGTTTCAAATAAAGGAAGGCACATGCTGTTTTACTCGATCTGCCAGTCTCTGAGTTGTACGCCCTACATGTATGTACCGAGCTTTACATCGGCCAATTTTCAGACTCTTACATCTAAAAATCGTGACTGTATTTATTCTATCAAAGGGATAGTTGAGTTCTTTTTTCAGACTGCAAATGCCTTCTAAGTCAATGGTTATTACTCTTATTCTTATCTATAACATTTCTAGTACCCTTTTAGAACCTAAAATTGCTAAGAAGGTAACTTTAGACTCCAAAATGTGTGAAATTTAGCCAATACGAGCATACCAATTCAGCTCCACTTTAAAAAAAACACGTGTCCGTGAATTAAATATATAATTAAAAATAACAATACATGGGCTGGCTGGTTGTGCGTAATATAAGCAACACGAAAATGCCAACAAAAAAAACCAAATCGGCATTGGCTGAAATTCGACGTACATGTACATGTAAAAGGCATTATTTCTTTTTTTTCAACGGTTTTTTCAAATTTTTCAAAATATCTAATATTTGTGGTGGTAAACAAGTATTAGAAATCATTGTATTTCAGCCGTCTCTGAACCAATTTTTGATCAAACAAAGATGATTTTGTCATTTAAATATTATGTTCTTTCAAATTTGACACTCAGTTTTTCATTATCTCACAAAAAAAGTTATTTTGTGTAGTGCCCTCTGCAACAGAACTCAACTATTCCTTTAATTGCTTTGACAACCTTTAATCAAATTAATAAGGATGTTAGTGTTACCATTCAAAGCCCATCTGCAATAGTTTTGGCCAGGGGGGTTAGACCTCCCTGCAAGATCACTGACAGGTGGTTATCTCATCAAATCAGCTCACAATTAACCTGATGATGATGATAAACAGCATTTGTATGGCGCCATATATCTGTTTAAAAAAACATTCAAAGGCGCGAGCTCCTCCAATAAAATTAGCATTTAAATGTCTGAAGGAGGAAAAAGGGGATCATGGGGATCCAACAGGCACCGATTATGCATTTTATGCTATATAGAGGGCGCAAGTAGCTTTAAGTAGTGCAGTGGGGCTTTAACATGCCCTTGTTATGTCTGAACGTACGACTGAATATCTTACCTTCCGTGTGCCTCAAAGTCAAGTTCCACTTCTTGCAAGGCATCTACCGATCGTCTGGATCGTTCATGCTTGGCATGTAGCTCATGAGTGTTGTAGCTAAGGAGTTCATAATGTCTGACATGGCGGTTCAGTTGCTCACAATCTGATAGGAAAACATGCAAGAGAAACAATTTCATATTACTATTAACAGATGAAAGGAAAATTAGTTTGTTTGTTTGTTCAATCGATATTTACTTCCTTTTTTCCTCTTTCATGCTTTTTTTTTTAAGGAGTGAATATACATGTACAAAGGTCTGGTAATGGTATGTTAAACATCAAATGAAATTGGTTTCTAGTTTTCCCTTTTTTTCCTGCCAGCCCATTTTCTACTTCTTTCGTTATATTTTTGCTTTCTCACAAAATAGAGAAGAATCACATAACATCTATCTAGAGGAATGAGGTAGAAATCATTCAAGCATCTCTAAGGTGTTGGAAGCCCAAACATTGAATATTGATAAAAGAATACCAGATCTGCATAAAACACAAAACCCAAGTTTTGTATTCTTCCATCAATAGTCGTCTCTAAACACATTTGTTTTGAAAATCCTTGCACAGTTCAGTGTTAAATGACATCCTCTTTCACATCATTACACAATTTAATTGAAATGTTTGCCATCAAATTTGTTAGCGAATTTGGGGCTCCCAAAACTTTAGAGAGACTTTAATATACAGAAGTGAGCAATCTGAACTTATTTTTAGTATGAAAAACTTAAACTAAACAAAATTGTTTTGATTCAAAACCATATTGTATCCATTATCTGCAGAAAACATTCAAAATTCCAAATATCAAATTACTCAACAATACATGATTACTAAAAAAATCCCCAGGAAAAGATATTTTTAATAAATTGGGGACAAATCTTTAACAATCATGAATTTGGTACGATTGTGGTGACCATACTTCATGTGTGACCTTACTGCTTAGTTCGCCATCTCAAAATATCAGTAAAAAATTTCTCGAAAATCAGACACCACCAATGGAAAGATGAACTTAAAATTGCCCACAGACTACATTTTCTATTGAATTTGAATTGGGTGTGAAATTATGACACTATTGACAAAAGATCAGCTCCGAAAAAATAAACAACAGTCTGGAAATCTTTTTTTTGAGAGCAGATGTCATCAAAATTGTTAGTAAAAAGTGGTAGGCCTACCAACTGATTGTAGACCTATGATATTTTGCCTGCAAAATATGCAATTAGTTTCTAGATCTAGACCCTGTTTGATAGATTGCTTTTTGTGATACTGATAGATCAGCTGTAAAATTCTGTGCGCGAATAAAAATGGTCGTTTCTTTTAATGACTTTTTTTTTGGTGACCATACTTCATGTGTGACCTTACTGCTTAGTTCGCCATCTCAAAATATCAGTAAAAAATTTCTCGAAAATCAGACACCACCAATGGAAAGATGAACTTAAAATTGCCCAGAGACTACATTTTCTATTGAATTTGAATTGGGTGTGAAATTATGACACTATTGACAAAAGATCAGCTCCGAAAAAATAAACAACAGTCTGGAAATCTTTTTTTTGAGAGCAGATGTCATCAAAATTGTTAGTAAAAAGTGGTAGGCCTACCAACTGATTGTAGACCTATGATATTTTGCCTGCAAAATATGCAATTAGTTTCTAGATCTAGACCCTGTTTGATAGATTGCTTTTTGTGATACTGATAGATCAGCTGTAAAATTCTGTGCGCGAATAAAAATGGTCGTTTCTTTTAATGACTTTTTTCTTGAGTTGAAGCACAGTCCGATCCGACATCCACTTTTAAGATCAGAATTTTGTTGACCATAAAGAATGATAAATTGAATAGACCTCTAGAGGTCTAGTTGCACCAATTTTCATTGGCTCTTGTTCAGAAACCTATCCAAAATTTGACCCGTAACTCCGGTGTGGAGATACCCTACTACAACATACCCAAAATGAAGTAAATATTCATCAAATGTCCACATAAAGATCATGAGTTAAAATTTGTTATGTTTATTACCTGTTTCGTGTCAATTTTGTTGTTATTTTTTGAGTATTTTTCGGATAAACGTTGATATTACTAGATTTAGTAGGCCTAGACTACTTTTTCACAGGTTTCACGGCAAACCGCTTAGACCAAAAGGCAGACCCTAGATTTGTGTAAATTATGAGAAATAATTAATGGATCGAATAGCAAATTTCCTTATGTTTTTTTTTAATCTCTGCAAACTTTGGTCACCCGATCATACACTTGAAGAATTTCAAGTAGAACTTGGCCAGTCTTTACAATTACATAGTCCCACACGCAAGTATTTACGCTTCTCTAACGTTAGATCTAGTCTCTCTAGAGTCTAGTTGCATTCACTAGTTATGTGCACATTCACATTGGCCAAGGAGTTATTTATACACGTATCGTGTAGGCCCTACACGTAAAAAAAAAAGGTTGTTTAGATCTATCATTCGTTGTACTCTTCATGTCTGTAGTCTACTCAGTTTTGGTCTAAAATTATATGGCATGGTTATCATAAAGATACAATTAGTAATTTTATACTTACGAGACACCCCAAATAGAAGGGTGAGCGTTAAAAGTATTTTCTCGTTCATTTGGAAAGTATGAAAAACTGCAATTTAAAAAAAATAAACACAAGCAATATTCGTCCGCTGATGTCGATCGTTCACCTGAGCTGCGGTAGATAAGCTACATGTAAGAATATGAGTGCTAGATGATCGGAGACGAGAAATAGCGTGTAACAGCTGAAGTTACCGTACCCCTCGATTTCTTGATCTCTCCCTCTAACCCACTCCCCCCCCCCCCTCTCTCTCTCTCTTTCTTTACCTTTCTCTCTCTCTCTCTCTGTCTGTCTGTATCTCCCTCTCTCTGTCTCTTTCACTTTCTCTCACCCGATCACTCCCCCTTCGCTTTCGTTATTTTTTTCCCTTTCTTTTCTTTCTGTCTATATTTCACCTGTATTACTTTCCTGTCTCATTTAATTTCATTCTTCATCTCTGTAATCATTATCAATAATTTATTGAATTTCCTCCCGGTACCCAACATAAACAAATCTTCTGTGTGCCCATGCCTTGAGCCATAATGCATGGTCGTACAGAGGATTTTTTTATGTTGGGGACCGGGGTAAAATTCAATGAATTAATGAAAAAAAAGTATTGCATTTTCTTTGTTGTTTTTTTATTTGTGGGAACTGCCCCCTACTAGCCCCCGCTGTGTACAGTCATGGTTCAGTGGCAAAGCAATGGCCTCGTAACTTTGAGGCCCCAGGATCAAAACCGTGTCGATGTGCCATATTAGTGCCCTTTTGTGGGACATTAATCCTCATTACTGTCATTTATATCTTAAAGGTACTATGTCCCTTTTGCAGCCAACCTCACATGCTGTAGAACTTTGCAGGAATTCTGAATATGTCATGTAATTTGTCCTATCTGTGAAATTTAAACGTTAGCAGTGTCCTCATATTCAAATTATGCAAGGAAACCCGTTTACTTGCTAGACTTCACTCGGGCAGACTCTATTGAGTGACGTACTGACTGGCTTTTTTTCTTCTTTGGTAATAACATACATGAAAAGAGTTGTAAAGGTACATGAGCATTAATTTGTCTACATCAATAACCCACTTCTTGTGATGGCCAAGATTAAACTGATTGAATCTTTGCGCAGCATAAAACGTATGACCATTCGGTACAATAATATTGTCTGAAAATCAAGACTATTACTTTTGGGCTCTATAGCCCAAAAGTCGATTTGACAACTAATAGTCGTTATTTTCCCACTTGAAGACATTTTCAAGCCCCATCTTTTTTAGGGAAGTTCTAAATTAGTATTATCTTTCAAATGCAGTTGGAATTTAACTTTTTCATTTTTTTTGCCTGCAAATGGGACATAATACTTTTAAGGGCGTAGGTCCCCTGGTTGATAAGCATAGTAGCATACACATGCTTTAGCAGTCACGCAAAACAAACACTGGCAAATTATAATATAATAAAACCTGATAATGTATACTATTATCTAGATCAATTAGAATAAACCATTGTCAAAATAATTCCATAAATTGGGGTAAAAAAAAATATTCCAACTATATGAGCGACAGTATATGCCTATACACTGTAAACAAATAATAGTCGAAATAACTCAATAAAATTGAGGAAAAGAATTGCCTTATTTTTATTAAGTAAATATTACCTACGGCATCTTAAGTAGAATTTACTTATTTTACTGAATACATTTTTACTCAGTTAAATCGAGTTACATTAACGTAAATAATTAAAGTATTGTAATAATTTTAGATAATTAAAAAAAAGCTATGATGGGATTACATATTGCACGATTTGGTACCCATCTTATCTAACAAGTAACATCCCCTAATCATTAACACTACTTCTATTTAAGATTTAACCGTATATATATATCTACCACCATCACAAACTATTACATACGCTTCAATTCGACACATATTGAAAGGCTCCAAATTTTATATATACTTGATCGTAGCATCTTAAAAGGAAAATTGGTTGACAATTTCCTGAAATATCAAGTTTTGATTTGTTTTGAACTGGGTAACAATTAAAAATTGTCTTGTCTTTGCTTAGCCATGTTAAATGAATTAGTAAATGTTTCATTTCATAAAGTTATGATTATAGATAAGTAATATTATATACCATTTGAAATATGAATATGCACCAATCTATGAAGACAGCTATAGAGCCTATGTATAGAGGACAGTGTCGACGGGCGCGGGCGCATGCAGGCTTCATAATTATTAGCACTACGCACTTTAGCATTTTTAGCACTCGGCTTACACGCAGCATGCAGGGCATTCAGCCAGTTTTGTTTACGTCTGCAACCATATAATCAGATTTCCAATAATTGAACGTTAAGATCAGCAGCGCAGAGTATAGTAGAAAGGTGAGTCATTATAGTGACGTCATGATTACCCCTGCAAAAAAAGAAAAAGATAGATTCCGATATTGAAACCAGGATATAGCTTTGAATTCTTGGCAGTGGCGTACCTGGGGTACTCCGTCAGGGGGGGCAAGCGACCGAAACAAACAAAAAAGGCGATGCTAATTTTCACTTCTGGCGAGCGAGCGAGCAAAAAAAAATCTTTAAGTAACGTTTGGTATATAAACTGGGATTGTTGCAAGTTGGGGGTGGGAACATTCACTAATTGTTAGCGACGTTAATTTCATTTTTTTTGCAAACGAGTGTAGCGAGCAAGAAAAAAATCCCTTTTTTTTAAATAATTGCCACTTAAACTTGGTTCAATTATTGTCCCATGCAGGGCGCGGGAACAATATTGTGTTTAGGATGATTTTATACCCATTTTAGCTAGCGAGCGAAAATACATCTTTCTCTCAATGAATTGCTATATAAAATTTGTTTCATTGTTGCAGTTAGGGGGCGGGCACATTCGTGTTTAAAGCAATGTCAATCCCATTTTGGCGGGCAGGCAACCCCCTACATTTCTCTTTTTAATGATATTGTAGCAGGTTAGTGGTGGGCACATAATTCCACGTGCTAGCGAGCGTAGCGAGCGAAAAAAAAAATCACTTTTCTTTTATAGGGAAAATATGGTACATAAAACTTGGGTTCATTGTTCCATGTCAGGGACGTGATTATTTAAAGCGGTGTTATTTCTATTTTGGCGAGCGAGCAAAAAAAAATCACTTCTCTTTTATAGGGAAAATATGGTATATAAACTGGGGTTCATTGTTCCATATCAGGGACGTGATTATTAAAAGCGGTGTTATTTCTATTTTGGCGAGCGAGCGTAGCGAGCGAGCAAAAATTTTGTAATGATAATTGGTTCATAAATTTCAGATTTTTTTGTTGCAGGGCAGGGCTTACACAATCATGTCTAAGGTGATGTTAATTCCATTTTGGCGAGCACGAGCACGAGCACACCAAAACTTCTTTGAATAACGTTTGGTACATAATTATTAAAGGTAAAGACCAGTATTGGAAACGCCCCAATTTCAAAAAATGAAATGGCGAAGCTCTCATTACCAATCATGTGAAAGAATATGTTTTGACTAATACATGATGATAAAAAATTTGCCGGGAAACCGCCTACTAATTCAATTATTTGGTAAATTTGTTTCTCTCATGGTCTGTGAGAGATATAGGGTAGTCCCATATACATCTTTCTGTGTATAGGGCTTGTAACTTTACGAAGAATAGGCCAAATTTCTTATCATTTTGACGATTCTAGAACCTTGCAGATGCTAGATGCTAGATGATCAACCTTTTCTGATCGATTCCACAACGTTTCTTTCACAATGCAATCGCATGACCATAAATGGTCTTTACCTTTAACTGGTTGTTGCAGGTTGGGGCGGATACGTTAGCGTTGTCAATTCCATTTTGGCGAGCGAGCATAACGAGCAAGCAAAAAAATAAATTCTCTTTTAATAGAAATTAATAAATAAACTTGTTTTTATTGGTGCAGGTCAGGATGGACGCAATCGCGTTTAACGCGATTCAATTCCTTTTTGGCGAGAGGGCGAAAAAACTCTTCCATTTTTAATGATATTGTTGCAGGTCAAGGGTGGGCACAATTATTTCCAAAGCAATGTTTATTCATTTTATTCGCGAGCGAGAAAAATGAATTAGTCTCTTTTAGTAACATTTGGTACATAATTGTTGCCATGGTTGCAGGTCGGGGCCCGTCGGGGCAGGCACAATTGTATTCTAGGCAATACTAATCCTTTTCTTTTTTCAGGGGGACGAGCAAGTGAAAACATTTAATACAAAATAGGCTAGCAAGCAGTTCGCGCCAGCGAAGAGTTTCAAATTTGTTATATCACTTATATTTTCCTATTTTCATTTGTTTTAATTTTTCAGGGCCGCATGCGGAATATTTTTCTGGTGGGGGAGGGGGAAAGATGCGTTAAAAGTTTTCGAAGAATCTCAAAAGCAAAAGGAGTGAAGGGAGTTCGAGCGACCGAACTGGTCGTGAGGGTACTTTTTCATTTTCAAAAGTAGAATTGAAGGATTTGGTATAGGCCTACACTACATTTTCAGGAAAAAAAACTGTACGTTTTCAAAATATCTGGGGTCAACTGCCCCCACCCCCCTGGTGCGTACGGCCATGGTCTTTTTTTTTTAAATTTCCCCTTTTTTATTCCTTTTCTTTTCTTTTCCCTTTTTCTTCCTTTTCTCTTCTTCTTCCTTTTTTCTTTCCTTTTTTTCCTTTTTTCTCTTTCTTTCCTTTTTTTCTTTTTCTTTCCTTTTCCTTTCTTTTCTTTTCTTTCCTCTTTTTCTTTTTTCCCCCTGGAGCCCGTCAGGGGGGGCACTCTGCCCCCCCTGCCCCCCCCATAGGTACGCCAGTGATTCTTGGAACTACACCTATATATCATTTTTTTTCTCTCTCTCTACGTAAAGATTAATATTGAAATATTTCGAAAGCGCTATTAAAAACGAATTATAACTGATTTTTATCAAATCGAATCAAACATTAATTTACTAGTAGTTTAATCTATCTAAGGAACATCTCCGATCGACGGGCATATTGCAGGGTTGAGGGGGAGGGGCAGTTTACAAGAGATAGCAGTATTTAGTAGAAGTAGAAGTAATGTCGACATAGCAGTGGTAGGAAAGAAAGGTTAGGTAAAGGTGTAAAGATTTATAGATGAAAATTGTTAGTCGAGTTAGGATAGGAGTAAAGTGGTAGTGAGGGGGAAGTAGATCAGCGTATACTAGAGAAT